TCCTCTATTGCACGAATTGGCTAGCTCTTTGTCTCCCTTTGTCTTCCCTCGCGATTTTCAAATCTGCCAGGCCAGCTCTCCCTCTCGCGGTTTCTTTTATTGTCGTTTCCTTTTATTGTCGTGAAATTAGCCTCAACCGGTGGTTTTACGACCGAGGCGAAACCAGTTTCGACGAAATCTCGCGATTATCTCTCTGGTTTTCCTCCTCGCGAGATTTCTTTCGTTTCTTTTTTTTTTCGTCGAATCGCGCGGCACATGCTCGACTTTATCGATTTTAAAGGACCGTCAAGAGCTGTGGTACAGTTTGAAACGGAGCCGCGCGACGTGTCGTTCAACTTCATTTCAATCGATGACTTTTAACTCCCCGGATCGAATTCAACGCCAGCGATGAGCGCTTCGTACAGAAATTACTTCGGGCGACCTTCGGTTAGCCACTTTGCACACTGAGATTTGAAAATCGTCCCTACCATTTTACGATTTTCCAAAATAATCTGGTGAGTCATCCTTCTTACATTCGTTCCAACGAAACTGCCCTTTTCTCTCTCAAAAAGAAAGGGAAAAACAAAAATGTTTGCAAGATCAAGTGGTCTTCTTCGTGAATTTTCCAGCGAGAAAGCAGCGAATACATCGGAGGAACACACTCGGCTGATTGAATCTTCGTTTCTGAAGATCGATCCGACAGTCTGTAATTACGACATTTGCATTTTTCTTTTTTTTCTTTCTCGTATTTGCGAAAAGAATTGGCCAAGACTTAATAAAAGTCGAGCAAAGAGATGAAAGCAACCGAAGCGTGAGTTCGCAGGACGCAGAACGCCGCGCGTTGCAAGTTTCTCGCAAAGAAACGAGAAAAAGAAGGGCGAGTCGTGTCCCCGTGTGCGTAAACACGTTACGTGGATACTCAAATACACGCTGCCACGCGAAAATCGAGCAAAACGCCCGTGCACATAATAATGCACGCAGGTAATGACGTACAATCGCGCTGCGGTGTTCCTTAGGCAATTACATTTCATTTTTAACGTTATCGTACCGACGACAAAGTTCCACGAGGTTGCGCGTTCTCTCAATTAAACGTTCGATCGATCCTCGACGGATCGTCCGCCAAATTGACTCGTTAAATTTCGAACCACTCACGCGATAAATCCGCGGCAATTCACCCATTTGCATCATAAGAGGAAGACTGAATAATAACGCCCTTATTGAATTACCATTTTTTCTTTTATCGTACTTGACCTCTTGCGCTGGAATATTTGTCTCAAAATTGCAATATTTTCTCAGTTTTAAGTGAAATTGAAATATAACCCAGGCGAAACAAATGATAAATTTATTACTCACTAGTAATTTCTATTTAGTGATATATAATTATCCATATAAATATCCAGCGATGAATTCAGAAAGAGGACGAATTATTGTATATATACGGTTTGGTCACTCGTTATGGTCCGCAATCAGTTACCAGCGTAAGAGATCAAGTAGGAAATTTTCAGAAAGTAGCAAAAAAAAAAAAAAAAAATGTATTTTAAGGACTTGCACATGTCGTGTGTCGATACATAAAAGTTCAGCGTTTCGTAATAAAAAAAAATAGAAACAAAAATCATGAGAAGGAAGTATTATTACATACATATATGTTACTTGTATATTATTGGAATAACGATAAGAATTTAGACTTCACAGTTGTCACACTGACAAATTGTTTCTCTTTTTCTCTACTGAGATGGACAAACGATGAACATAACATCTTTTGACCTTCTCTTGATAAAATTGTTTTCATCGCTATTGGAAAATATCCAGTAAACCTTGATAATTTTGTAACTTTTCCTGTTTTCTTTCGTATTTTTAGCTTCTCTTTTTAATATTGTTTTCAATAATTTGTTTGAAGACGTGAAACGTTCTGTCTTTTTGAATAGTTTTGAAAATAATACAACTCGTTCGAAAGGATCGTGTCAGAGCAACAAAAAGAAATATTTTTACGTGCCTTCTGTGTCATCGCATAGTATGGAATTTGCTTCGAATTTGACCATCTTCCTCATCGTAATTCAAAACAACAGTAACTTTCGTTGATCTTCTAATTTTGTTTCCCCCTTGTCAGCAAACTCAAGACAACATAACATCCTTTTTATCCTCCCACTTTATGGCTGACATGTTTTCACTCTGCAGCTTCTCTCGGTTTCAATTCTGTTCCTTTGTACAGCTTTAGTCTATTTTCTATTTACTCTCATTGTGAAAAATATATACGTATGCTCTGGCGATGCTGGACCAGGAAAATTATGTGTGTATATATATATATATATTGAGTTAATCGGTTAACTTAACCGCAGTAAAGACACGCGGACAACAAAAAACGAGAAAAAAGACCCGCGGAAAAACTTGGCCGAGCGTTTCGCGGGCAATTTACTCGCCGGACGACGAAAGGCCGTGAAAGATAGCAGAAAAATGGGAGCACATTAAGGGCACGTGGGCGATGTATCGAGAAGGCGGAGCGAAGCGAAGCAAGTCTGTACTTTTATAGAGCATCGTCGTCTGCGACAGATCGCCGATCGCCTTGAGCTCTTGGCAACGATCACCGTCCATCTAATTAAGGTGTTTTCGTGGAGAAAACCCAGACATCACGGAGGTCGGAGCCTCGTGCGTGAGGATCTAGCCAGGCGATGCTCGCCTTTGATCAACACTAGTACCACTCGACTACTGGACAAACATAAAATTACCATTCTTCCCGAGACGTTGAAAGTGAAACAAGTGGAAAAGCTTCGTGACAACAACAACAACTTGGACAAACTTTCTTCTATATATTTTACAAAAAGAAATCACGCGAACTTTCTAAAAATACACTGTGTTTTTATTTAGAAAGTTTCTAACGAAAATTATAAATTGGTCGCTTTCTAGCGCTAACAATTGAATAGTTCTTGCGTTAATTACTGACTGCTCAAAATTTCCATCAGAGACATAAAATTGGGAAAAATAGAGAAGCTTCGTGGTGACAATAACTTTCATCTATTAATTTTACAAAAACATTATTTAAATCTCCAAAAATGCACTGTTTCGTATTTACAACAATTTCAAACGAAAATTATAAATTGGTCATTTTAACCACTCGTCAATTACCGACGACTAAAGCATAAAATTCAGAAAAATTAAAATGAAAAAGATAGAAAAGTTTCACGATAACAATAACTTGCACAAACTTATCTATATTTTACAAAAAAAAAATAAAAATCGTACAAGTCTCTAAAAATTCGCTGTTTCGTATCTACAAAATTTCCAACGAAAATTATAAATTGGTCGTTTTAACCGCCCGTAATGTTAATATTTCTTGCGTCGATTAAAATTCAGAAAAATTAAAATGAAAAAGATAGAAAAGTTTCACGATAACAATAACTTGCACAAACTTATCTATATTTTACAAAAAAAAAATAAAAATCGTACAAGTCTCTAAAAATTCGCTGTTTCGTATCTACAAAATTTCCAACGAAAATTATAAATTGGTCGTTTTAACCGCCCGTAATGTTAATATTTCTTGCGTCGATTAAAATTCAGAAAAATTAAAATGAAAAAGATAGAAAAGTTTCACGATAACAATAACTTGCACAAACTTATCTATATTTTACAAAAACAAAAAAAAAAAAAAAGACAAAAATCGTATAAGTGTCTAAAAATGCGCTATTTCGTGTCTACAAAATTTCCAACGAAAATTATAAATTGACCACTTTGGTAATTCTCAGTGGTAGCGTTAATATTTATGAATAATTCTAATTAATTACTGTCAGTCGCCAAAGAGCTCCCAACCTTCGATCGTTCTATTGCAACAGTTTAGCTGTCGGGTAGCTGAATTAGCTGGCGTTTTAGAAGAATTGGATCTAAAAAAAAAAAAAAAAAAAAGGGAAAAAGAAAATGAGAACAATATCGTACGTTTCTTTCTTCTCTGCAGAGAGGAGAAACTCCCCAGGGATGATTAAAAATAATTCGAAGGATACATTCCGCGCGTTTACGGCTGACATTGCCAGGACACAGTAAAATATAGCGTTATAAATTGCGCGAATGTGCATTCTTTGACTGCACAAATAACGAGCGTTAAACTTCGGTGACCGGACGTTGCTCGGTCGCGAGTGTTAATTGATAACTCTGGCTTCTGTTTCGCTCAGTTAGGAATTGAAGGTGGCTAAGGTGTGTGTATTCTCGAGGTGTATTTCGACGATTCATCAACGTCGCAGATTAGAACTAGATAAATTAAAACGTCGTTTCACGATACTTTCAGCGGCAACAACAAATTTAGCCAGATGGTGAATATCACGGTCACAGCTTCAACTTCGTAGAAAGCGTGAACTAGTTGCTTTGGAGAAAGAAGAAAAGAAAAGAAAAGATGGTATGCTCGATTCGTTGGCGAGGAAGTGACCGGAAGGCACTCTTGCTGCGTGATCCTAGAAGAAACAGCTCCGCGACGTTTCACGATCGCGAGCGTGGGACGTCGCGAGGACTCGATCGTAAGTTTCGATCTTTCCTCGGCAAATACCCGGTAAACACCGATCGAAAATGAAAACCGAGAAATTTACGTACGCGGAACACGACTCGACCGTTTAACGCTAATAAATTCAGGGGACGACGCGAGCTCGCTTTCGACGATTTGCCAAATTTCGCGATTACGTTCGCGATTACGATCGACTTGCACTGACGTACTGTCGATTGCAAAAAACTGTCCTAAAAACTGTCTGAAGAAAGAGAGACGAAACATTTCCGAAATTTCTCCAATTTCCATGGTTGCTTGGTCGATACGAAAGTGACACGTATCAGCGGATGCTGTCGAAAGACAGAGAGAGAGAGAGAGAGAGAGAGAGAGAGAGAGAGAATGGAGACGTGTGATTCGTCAGCGATGACGTTCCGGTTTAGCCGAGGTAAATCGCAGACACAGGGAAGCACACGGTGGCTGGAGGTTGAGAATCGCGTGTTAGAGAGAGGGTAGAGAGGCGAGTAGAGGCGATCGGCTCTCTCGGATCAGCTGTGAGAGCGGCGTGGCGCCGTGTGCCGCGGCTCTGACCCGCTGTCAGTTGCCCGAGCCCTGTGCTACGGTTAGGACCGTGCAATCGTCACCTTTTAACGAGCACGAGACAGCCTATCTACTCGAGAAACGACATTCGGCTCTGTCACGGTCCACGTTTGCCGATCGCCTCGCCTCCCCCCACCGTTGAGGAAAACATTCGCGAACATCGGATCAACAGGATCAACCGAACTTGGTTGGTCGATCCACCAACGTGTACCTTCCAGTACGATCGATCTCAACGTGCAACGTGGAGCCGAGGTTGCATTTCGATCGTAGATCGTTGGAGATCGCGAGGAGAGGAGATCAAGGGAGCTGCTGTAGATCGTGGTGGTTTTTGTGGTGGAGAAGTGATTCCGAGGTTGGTCCGAGAGAGAAGCTCGCCGCTCATGCTTCGCTGACAAGTCTCAGGATGTTCTGGTAGAGGTGGTCCGATCAGGCGGTGAAATGGCGTGCGGAATATCGTTCGAAGCGACTGCCACCAGCACGGTACTTTTCCTCCTGGTGAGTACCAATTCTCCATGCATTTTCGTTCGCCATTTGTTGAAATAATACTAAATAATACTAAAATAATAATAGGGCTCGCCGCGCCCTGCCACTTTCACTTTTTCACGCGAGGCCCTGCGCCTCACGGGACGCACATACGCGCATCGTTCCCGAAGCGTGGCATTTTTCGTTGTTTATGGAGAAACGAGGTTCGCAGACGCTCGCGAGGAAGAAGCGCGCTCGCTCGGCGAAATCGAGGAGGCGAGTTTATCGGCATTAAATCATATCGGCGTTCGCGATGCTTTTGTTTACGTGGTTGCTCGAGGTAGCAAGACATCGCAACGTGAATTATTTTTACGAGCGGCTCTTTCGCCTCGTTCGCTCGTGGTCACTTCGTAGCAGACGTGAATATCGCCACGTACTTTCCAGATCCATTGTTTGGCAACAGTAACATTCACCGGTGAACCCGCTGGAATTCAAACTTGATCGTACTCTTTGCCTCGGACGCACACGATCATTTCTCGTGCTATCTCGTCCCGTATTTCCAGACCTTTTTTTGCTTGTGTTGATCTACAAGTTTTTTTATTCGTAATGATCTTAATCTCGAAAGCATTTGGTACATTTTCACAATTTGCTTTATTGGCGAATTCTATTGGTTGTTTAGTTGGTACTGATTGTGAGTAATGTCTGATACTGTACGAGTATTTCAACTTATTTTCTCTACGTATATTTTAATAAAGATATTGATCTAGAAATTTTGTCGTAATCTTGATCTTGAAAGCATCTAATACGGTTTTCTCAATTTTTATTTTAGTGATCCACTGAATCTACTTGTTTAATTGATACTGAGTATCTCTTAAATGTTGAAATGAGTATTTCATTTTATTTCTCTACGGCTCATGTATATTTTAATAAAGATATTGATCTATAAATTTTCTACTCACAATGATCTTAATTTTGAAAGCAATTTAGTATTACATTTTCTTAATTTGTTTAGTGATCTACTGGTTGTTTAATTGGTACTGAGTAGTATCTATTAAATGCTCTATGGGTATTTCAATTTATTTCTCTACAGCTCATGTATATTTTAATAAAGATATTGATCTATAAATTTTCTACTCACAATGATCTTAATTTTGAAAGCAATTTAATATTACATTTTCTTAATTTGTTTAGTGATCTACTGGTTGTTTAATTGGTACTGAGTAGTATCTATTAAATGCTCTATGGGTATTTCAATTTATTTCTCTACGGTTTATACATATTTTAATAAAGATATTGACCTACAAATTTTGTATTCACGGTGATCTATTGGTACTGAGTAGTATCTACTCTCTAATTTCATTGTAATTAATTGCACATTAGATGAACGTACAATTATATATATTTATTTATCATTATTTATCAAATATTTCTTGATCGTTTGGTAAAAAATGGACCAAACGTCCATTTCTTCGTGAAACTGAGTTTCTTCGGTTATCAATGAACTCCGGGGGATACTTAAGGAAACGAACATTAATTGGAGCCACATACATTAAGGCAAATTATGTTTAATATCACTCCCTGTATTATCGAGTTGCGTTTACTAAAAGCTGGTATTTACGATTTCCTGATGCTTCGAGAGTCTCGTTTCCATAATTCACGAAATATTTAACACGCGTCGCTGAACTACATTGCTATGCAAGTTACATAAAAATCAACGGCAGCTTATATCAAAGAACATTTCGCTCGTTTCACAAACCACATTCGCGTTAAATGGCTCTAAATTACGTGACGGGCGTAAAATGTCACGAATTCGCCAGCGTTCAACCTTTGTTACATCCTCGACGCGATCCGTCATACGCTTTCTGAAACACCACCCTTTACATCACAAACCGTGACATTTCGACCGGCGATTTCGTCAACGTTGTTACACGTTTGACAACGTTTCACCTAATTTTCAGAGAATTAAACGTATTTAATTTCTTACGCTGGAACGACGTGCTATGCAAATTGCAACGTTTTCTCAGTTTTAAGTATATCTAAGTATACTTAATATACTTAATACTCAATATTCAAAACAAGTGACAAGTTTATTATATTTAAGTATACTTAATATTTATGTTTAGTATATTTAAGTATACTTAATATTTATGTATATTTAAGTATACTTAATATACGTAATACTTAATACTCAAAACAAGTGACAAGTTTATTAATTCTTAATCATTTCTATCCAGTGATGTCGTACCGACGAGTTCAAAAGAAAAAGAAAGCGACGAATCATTGTATACGGCTTGGTCACTCGTTATGGTCCGCGAATCAGTTGCCAGCGCAAGGGGTTAAAAATAAATGTACAGACTCACACACACACACATACATACACACCAGGAACTTCTGTATGATAATTCAGTCAAGTATATATTCTGTTCCTACAATTAATGAAAATATTACACTTCGCAATGCTTCTATCGTTAACAAACCAACATACGTTCTCGCGTTAATGACGTGCAAATCGCACCTGTTGATCCTGATATTTACAATCATCCCCAAGTTACAATGGACTTTCACAAGAACGTCTATTGTTGAATCCTGCGATCGTTAATCATTCTGCTGTCGGATCCGAATGCTAATAACATTTACAATGGTGGAGAGCATTGGCGCGAGTTGGAATAATTATCCGAACAATTAATCTTAATCTGAACTTCCAAATAGGAACGTTTGGAAATCCGTGTAAAAAAAAAAAAAAATAGAAAAATTCTTAGTCGTAGAACTGTATTCACAAATTGATACCAAACTAAATTGGACGTTCGACGTCTGTATTCGAGCTGACGTCTGTAAAGTCTTTGAGACGTTTGCAGGTTAATGCATATGTAAGGACATAAAAACATATTTCCCTACAAGAATGTAAAGAGAGGATATAAAAAGATATTTTTCTACCAGAACAATGATGACCCGCGCAGGCTTTTTAAATGACCCACGCGTTGATTTTTATAAACTTATCATCATATATATAAAAGAATTTTAATTATTTTCCGAACCCCTCTTTTCAAAAAATGTTCAGAAAATTACAAGTGTTCGGTTAGAGCTTAAACGTGAGGAACAAATGTATAATTGTGTTTTATGAAGGATTTACGACTTGGTTATGTATACATATAGGTATTTCAAGTCTTAAATGTTATACGAGTTAGTTGTGTCCAAAAAATTTTATATTACGATTAAACAGATGTAATAAATACTAGAAAAAACACACTAGATCCCATTCTCAGAATGGGTAGCTTTGCTAGTTTTTTTATATAATAAAAGAGAGAACAGACAATAAAAAATATTAAGAAATAAAGTATATATATATATATATATATCTAATGTATATTGCAGGAGTGACTGGGCACGATGCCCTTTTGTATCAATTTTTCGACGTCGACATTTATTTTTCGCTCTTCACTTGCAAAAGTAAAAGTTGTAATACAAAAAGGAAACGTAAACTTTTTAGAGGATTATAAAAGTGAGAACCAAAAAAAAAGTAGTTTTTAACCATTCTCCACTGACCTAGTGACCCACGAGCTAGTACTAAGAAAAATAATGAACAAAATTTGACCTACTTCTCAAATAGGTTCGCCGTCACTGTGCTAGAGCATCCTATGTGCCAAGTTACCTACTTCCATGAAAAATAAATATCATTCTCTGATCATGTCGGATTTCATTTAATTCCGTGTGTCAAGGAAATACTAACAATAAGAGAGTACTCGTACCGCTTTTTCGCCAAGTTCCTCGATTCAATCACCTCTTTAAAAGAAGAGAAAAAGTTGCCCGACACGCGGATCGCAACCTACCCCACGACGACACACTTAGCCACTCGATCCAGCGGCTCGAAACCGATCCGACTCGATCGCTCGGCGACCACTCAAAAAGTCATTATCACGAACCCGTTAACATTAACCTTCACGCGGCTCGAGCGTGGACAGTCGCGCTCCCAAGAACGCGCCTCCTCCTCGCACGTAAACCGCGTGTTAAATCACGTTTCACCGCTTGGTTTCATCAACCAAGTTGCCGCGTCCTGTTTGAACAAACGTTCGAAAAACGCCGCGTGTTACGATTTGTTTTCTTGTCTGCTTCCGTTATCCAGTCAACAGACTAGAACTACGGTTGAAACGTTAAATGTTTTCGTGAGAAAATAAAGAAACCTTGTGATACGAAGTTTGATTTGTACGTTTGACGAGAAATTATCTTTAAAAATCTTTAAAAACAAAATATCAGACGATGAATTGGTCATTTTGACCACTTTAGTGTCTTCTTAGGGAGTATGAAATGAAAAAAGTGTTTAAAAAATACGTTGTTTCACGTCTCACAAATATTATAAAAATTGGTCATTTCGACCATATTAATTTTAGTGTCTTCCTAGGATAGTATGAAATGATACAGTTTAAAACAGAGATGAGACATTTTATCTCAAATTATTCCGCCACTATGATTCTGACGACGTCTCCGGCCTTAGTTTAGATTCGACGATCGTGGCAGAGATATGGTTCTGACAAGCACGAAAAGAAGATTGTAATGTTTGTTGCGAAGAAGAATATACGAAGCAATCTATTACACTTTTATTGCGACACTTGTCCTGATAAAGCGAGAATGAATCTTGGTGAATTCTCATATATAAATTATCATACAAAAAAAAAAAGAGAAAATCACAGAATATTACGAAGTTAATATTAATGCTACAAAGTTACTACTTAATATTACAAAGTTATATCGTTAAAGATTGCAAATATAAATAAAATATTTAAAAAGTTTGTGTTTAAATATAAATACAAATTTAAAAAGAATAAAGAAATTAATAAAACATACAACATTTAATATAAAGTAATAAAATAAAATAAATAAAATATTTAAAAGGTTGTTTATAATTATATTAAAATTATAAATATTACGAAGTTAATATTAAGTTACAAAGTTACTACTTAATATTACAAAGTTATATCGTTAAAGGTTGCAAATATAAACAAAATATTTAAAAAGTTTGTGTTTAAATATAAATACAA